ACAGCCTGAAATATTTCCTAGATCCTATGTAGTACTGTAAGTACTTTCTACCACTTTAAGTGTTTGTAGTGTTAATGTACACTTTGTATTAGTTTACTGTACATAGTGCTTTCACAGAATCTTACAAAGCAACAGAAAAAAGTGGTACCCATAATATATACACACACAGACGCACACACAACTTTTTAAAATAAATACTTCAGTGCAATATAAAGTTAGAAGAAACTATAAATGCACAAAATGAGAAAACAGAGGTATAACCTCTAAATATATTAATTTGTTTATACACATTTGTGTCTGCCTGCTGATCTTTATGAAGAGCAAAACCTCAACATTCATTGAAAATAAAATCCTTAATAGAAAGTCACTTTCGGCTTTTCCCGTTTAGGGGTCGCCACAGCAGTTCGTCACACTGACGACTCGCATGTTGACATTTGGCACATGTTTTACGCCGGATGCCCTTCCTGATGCAACCCTGATTCAAACCCGGGGCGCCTTAACCACTAAATAATTAAAATAAAATCACTAAAAACAAAATAATTTTCTTTCTAGGAATCAACAAATTGACCTATCTCCAACCATCTACTTACATGTAATTGTTTCCCTACGTTCCAGTTCATTGTTATTCTTTTGACAGAATCTTTGCTTAAAATTTTTGACAGTTAATAATTTTAGTAGAGATATTTAGAACTCACATTTCAAATAGTTAAAACTAAATAGGCCTACATTGCATTCTATATACAACTTAATGGTTCATTCTTACTAGTGTGAATGCATTTAGACACATCCTAATTTATGCATAGAAATTAATTTAAGGTGATACTAACTAGTACACATGAAATGTAAATAATTTATATGGAAAGCAAAATTTGATCTTAGAAATTATAAAATTGTATGATGATGTCATATTGTAAGAGAATATGCCTATTTGACATATAGGGCCCTATATTACTGCAGCTGGACACAGTGCTAGTCTTGTGTCTAAACTTCAGGTGCAATGGACCTATGGGTGTGTTCATCAATGTTTTGCACACTTTCATGCACAGCCAGACATCACCAGGCGCACTGTGGAGGACAGGTGGAATACATGGTGAGCAGGTGGAGTCAGGACTGGCTTTAGTTATGTTCAGTGAAACCAGCTCCTTTCATCCCCTTTAAAGAGCAGGGCAGAAACCTGACTGACTGGTGTCACCGATGCCATAAGAGGAAATGAGAGGAAAGATCCTTTCCATGTATCTTCTTCTTCTGCCAGTTATGTATTCCATTCCTAGACTGACAGTGACCATATTATGTAAAATAAAGATTTTATTGCGAGTTACAAACAGCCATCATCTGGAGGGTTGGATGAGGATTTCTGGACACCTCTTACAATGGGACTAAATGAAAGATTTAGATGTCACTCTCTGTGGTTTTGGCCACCTCACCCAAACACTGCACATCCTGTCAGAAAACAAAGTGCAGTTCTTGGATCCTGACAGATTTCTTTTCCTTTAAAACTACAGCAGCAAATAGGACATGGGATCATGGAGTTTGGATCAAAGACAATAAGGATAAATGTCCAAATAATAATCTAAAATGGCAGAAACATACCTAATTCTTGCACTGACTTCCATCTGTCTTTTGCAGAGACAGCTCAAAAAAACAAAATCCTATGTGTTTTTCTTGCCTCAGTTAACATGGGATGATGCTCAGGATTACTGCAGACAGCACTACACCGACCTGACTATGAGCAGAAAGCAGTTATCTATCAAACGCAATGGTTTACAGCACAATACAAGGTGGTGCAGACTCATGGATTGGTCTATAGCGAAATGCATGGCCTTGGTCACAGCAGCAGTGTGTTCAAAAACCAGCTACCTGCAGAGCCAAATAACTACGTTCTTGTTCAGTACTGTATGACTGAGGATGCTTGACATCAATGGAATGATGACAACTGTCAGGCTGAGTATGCTTTCATCTGTCAGGAAGGTGATTGTTCACTACAAAAAATAAACAAAAAAGTAATAGTAGTTTTCTAATATTCAAATTTACTCTGTGTGTCTGTTATTGATTGTATGTTTACTGGACTGTCCAGACAACTGTCATGACAATGAAGATGCAGACTACATGACAGATCCAGCTACTAACACCCAGCTCCTCCAACAGGTAAAATTCTTTCTCTCTCTCCTGGCTTGTTGTCTGAGAATTACAGCAGATAAGACACATTTGCTATAGTAGAAAATGGTATAGAATATTTAGAAAAGGTCTATACATTTATTTTATTTCTTTTCAGCTAGTTATAACACTAACAAGTCATGGACTGAGTGGCATCAAGCTGCAATGAAAGATTTAGCCCAGAAAACAGGAGAAAGAGAAATTCACACAACCTCATCTATACTTTTGTTCACAGCAACAAAGTAAGCCTGCCTGTAGCTGATCCTAAATGACAGTGAACAGGAGGTAGAGTATGCTTTGAATAAGGCTAAATGATCATACACGTTAATGACGTCATTGTGTTATTAATAATGCTATTTGTAGAATGGTGTTATATAGGGATTTTCTATGCACTGATGCATATTCAAAGCGCTTTACAGTATTTCCCATTCACCTACTCACACATTCACACACCAGGAGCAACTAGGAGTGTCTTGCTCGAGGACACTTCAACATGTGGACAGGAGAAGTCGAGAATCAAACCTTCAACCCTCCGGTTGGGAGACAACCCACTCTTTCACCCAATCAATCCACAGCCACCTCACAGTTTACATAATTAAGCTTCAGCTAATACGGTAGGTGATAACATAATAAGATGAGATAGCTGGGATTTTTCTTGTGTGATGCTCATTGACTGGGTTTGCTCTAACCCTGTCTCCTAGACATTATGTTTCTATAGAACTAATTTAGAACAGCAAATACATTTTGGAGTGAACATAATGCTGCCGGATTTACAGTGGCAAGAAAAAGTATGTGAACCTTTTGGAATTTGGGTTTTCTGCATTAATTTGTCATAAAATGTGATCTGATCTTCATCTAAGTCAAGAGTACTGACGAATATAATGTGCCTAATATAACAACACAAAAAAAAATCTGATGAAGATCAGATCACATTTTATGACCATGAAACCATGAAATTCCAAAAGGTTCATATACTTTTTCTTGCCACTGTATGTTTATTATAAACATAATATGGTATATTAACAAGTTTAGTCAGTCACAACATGTTCATAGTGAGCACAATAAAATTTGCGCTGTCATCATCAGTTTCATTTGGTTTCTACCAAAATCTGAGATCTCACGATCACATATCCATTAGTAGTGAAACTTATTCATGGATGTGTTTAGGCATCCATACCACTGGGTTAAGTTAGGGTTAGAATGATTGTGGTTTGGGCTAATACAGAAAAGATCAACGGTGACTTGAAACACGTGTTAATAAGTGTTGAATCAAAATGAGAATTCTACTTAACCATAAGCACTATGATTTTGTTGTCTGAGCTTAACCGCAAACACAAGACCAGGTGCAAACACTGCAGGTCAAAGTCCTGCACTTTCGATGCTCACCACCATCCACACACCTCCTCTCTGTGACATTTCTCATCAAAACATCGTGTAATCTAGCAATGTTTTTTCCCTGGGCAATCACAGAAAGTTGTCCTGCTACACAAAAATGTTTTTATTTATTGTGCCATTAGAAACCAAATGAAAACAGAAATGAAGATTTTTCTGTTTGATTAATTTCTGTATTGATTTTATGGCTTTGTGTTTTCTTCCCAGTGAACTGTATCTTGCTCTGTTAGCTTGTGGTTTGTTGTTACTTATTCATCTACTTTATATTTCATTTGTATTATGTGGCATTCATGTGGACGGCAAAGTAAGAATTTCATTGTACAGGGAAACACGTTTCCTAACTGTGCATATGACAAATAAACACTTTGACTCTGACTTTATCCACGTGAAACTGACTGGCAAATTTTAACAAGTGACAGTGCTGAATGAGAACATAGATTTGATGTATGTTCCCACAGAAAATGTGTATAATATGCCCACTATCAGATTATTTAGATTATTTGTAAGTAAAGCTCTTGATGATGATGCTTTTCAAGATACTTGCAAATTTTACACAGAAGAAAAATACAAAATTATGTAAAACACGCTATAACTAAAAAAAAAAGGTAATTACTGAAGAAATCACATGGGATAGCTGATAAACTGCCAAAAAGGGTATTTAAAGCTGCAAAACTGCAGCAAAACAAGATAAAGTTGACTTATAGGTACAGAGGACAATTGAAAACAACAACAAAGCAGAAAGCAGTTATCTATCAAACCATCCATCCACATCTACTGTATCTTCACTCTATCAGTCAATCTATTTACTTATTAGGGCTGGGTGACAGAGACCTTGTTTATGTGTTATTGTGTTAGTTACTGTGTGTACTACTGTTCTTCATACTGTGTGTATCTTATTGTGTGTATTATTCTGTTACTGTATATATTGTCATGACCTAGCTTTTAGACCATGAGAAAAACAAGAGGTGGAAATTGCCAGCAAACCGGTCTATTTATTAAAACAAAAGATATTTAAACAGAACATGAGGTGTGTTAGTCAACCATATCAGTAGTATACTGTAAGTGTGGCTGTGGTGTAGTATAGTGTTGCAAGTAAGAAGTAGGCCTACATTTCCTAAATAAAGACATTTATCTACATTTTAATGTATCATTATTTATGCCAGTTAAAAGTGAAAAGGTTTGAAAGCAATTTGCTGTATAATTTGTTATAAAAGCTCAAAAGTGAAAGAGAATAAAGAAGACAACTTAAAAATGAATGAAGGAGCTCTTAGAAAGAAAAAAAATCAGAGCAGAGAAATGATAATGCCAACCTCCATTAAAAAAAAAAGAAAAAAAAAGAAAAAGAAGTAAAAAAAAGGACTGATAAAGAACTGAGAGAAAGAAAGAAGGGTGGAAGCAAGCCGATCAGCTCTCCCACTAATTAGTGAAGTAAAACCTTTCACTTGTTTAATCGGCTTGCCATAGTCGCGTTGTCCCGCACGAGATCTCGTTCCTTTCAGCGAGCTCTTCTCGCCGCACCACAAGCTTGTCACCAAAGATGGCGATTTGCTGAGGTCTCATGGATACACATATTTCTCGACTAGTTGTTGAAACGCCGACTTTAACAACAAATTAACTGCTTAGAAAGCACATTTTTCTCCTTTTGAAGCACATCTGACATAACGTCAGCCACCGCTACCATGCAGATTACACTTAAAACACTGCAACAGCAGACTATTCAGATTGAGATAGACCCCGAACAAACGGTGAGTGGCTATTAGCAAGCTAACTTTAGCTAACAGTACTAGCTGCGGGACTAATGTTTTGTGTAGACCCTACTTGAAGTTGCCAATTAAAGAACAATTACATAGTTTGGACAAACTGCATGTGTCACAAAAAGGGAAATCAAAAGAAAAAGGGCGCTAAACAACACGGAGCCTCAATTACTAGCGAACGTTATCTAGTTAGCTAAGCTAGCAGAAAGCCCGTTAACAAAGTCATCGCGGCGCAACTGTGAATGAATTTTTCATTGTCTCACGTTTGTGTTATGGTTACTTTGCTGCTACTGCGCCTCGGTAATATATGATGTGATCTAGTGTGTAATGCTGTAACTTCTATGAGGAACCCAAGTTGCCCACTAGAATATGATTACCATAGCTAATGCTAACGCTGATGACACTGCGATTAGCCTTATTGGTAGCAGACATCAAGGCTCGTTTTTTAGCATGTTCACAGATTAACTTGTAGTTAGCAAGGCCACCTTTAAACGAAAATTTGATTATGTTGCTCTGTTCGTTATTGTCATATCACTTTTATTACTAATAGTGGGTATCATTGTAGTAACTTTCCTATAGTAAATACTTGCATTTTGTGTAATATACTGAGTCCGAATGAAGACACGGGTTATGCTCTGTTCCAAATCGAATTTTGCAGCTTTGCTGTGATTCTTCCCAGACTGGTAATGGCCATGTCCGTGGTCCATGTAGGTAGTTTTTATGAGATCCGTGGTAGAATATTGAGGACAAATGCCATGGAGGGCAACGAGCGAAGGGGTGAATGATATGCATATTCTGATATAAAAGCATTAGGAGATTATTAGTATGTGCTACATGGCGATGGTTATGGAGTATGTTTGCTTTCTTTGCTGTCAGGTGAAGGCCTTGAAAGAGAAGATAGAAGCAGAAAGAGGAAAAGACAACTTTCCTGTATCTGGACAGAAACTGATATACGCTGGAAAAATCCTGCAAGATGACACACCTATAAAGGACTACAAAATTGATGAGAAGAATTTTGTTGTAGTGATGGTGTCCAAGGTGAGATTTTTTTGAAATACCTTTAGATAACATCAGAATTCATAGTCATAATGAAACTTTAATTTAAGAGCCAATTTGTCAGCAGTTAGGTCCCTTGCATTATAGTACTTTTATGGCAGATCTTAATGTTTGACAGTTTCATTGTTAAGTTGGTAGTTAACAGCTCCTTCTTTTGTGTTGACTAAAGGCTAAGCCTGCAGCTGCCACTTCACCCCCAGTCTCAGAAGCACCCAAGCCCCCTATACAGGACTCTGGCTCCATGCCAACAGCTGCCCCGGCCACAACCCCAACTTCAGCTCCAGCTCCAGCCCCAGCCCCAGCCCCCGCCCCAGTCTCAGCAACTACCCCAGTTCCTCCAGAGGAGGCCAAAGAAGAGCCAAGTCCTGCAACCACAGAACAACAACCAGCCAGGTAGAAGCAGCTGGTTACATATTGTGTAATGTTTAGAGCTTTAATGATTAGTTGATCGTTTTGATTATTTGAATAACATAAGATTAATCAGCAACTATTTAAATCATTCACATTAATTTCGCATTATTTAATATTTGGAAAACATGCCAAATATTTGCTGATTACAGCTTCTCGGGTATCTTTTATTATAGTTAACTGAACATCGTTGCATTTTAAACTGTTGGTTTTATCAAACGGGCAATTTTAATTGGGTTGTTTGAAAACCGTGTTTTCCTTGTTACTTAACATTTTATCAAAAAAATGTTGGGCTGTTATTGGGCTTAAATCGTGCAGTCTGCACCAGGCATAATGTTATCTGCTGCCTTGCTCATCACCTAGTGGTTTCATTCTGGCATCATAGATGTTGTATAGGTTGGCTGATTTTTCTCTACCTCTTTGTTTCGTAGCTCCAGTGGCGGTAGCCAGGGCTTGGATGCCTCCTCAACACTTGGTAGGTAATGGGTGGGTTTCTGCCATGTTTATGTCATTATCATACACAAGCAACTGGAACCTGTACGGGTGTAATAGTCTCAATGTGATAGTTTAAGTATTTGCTCAATGGAAATTGTCCCATGTCACTCAGTTGGGCAGTGTTATAAGTGTTTTAATTTGACAGCAGTACATTTGCTGTGCACATTCCAGGTTGTACTTGCTGTGCCAGAAATGGTTACAGCTGTGAGTCAGGGGCTTTGCAGACTGCAATACAATACACTCCATTTCTATATTTAGGCTGTGACAGAAGTAAGCCATCCCTCATTGTGGTGCCACAGAAAGTGATGGGGATTTCCATTCGGTCCTTTCATATATTATATACATACTGAAAGACAATGTAAAAGAAGGTGTCATGCTGCTATTTAAGTTCACATTAGATGTTGTATTGATTAGATTACATTACAGTTTGCCAGAATATACTTAAGAAATTTGTCTTGCATCTCAAGGTACACATTACAAACAGAACATGTACTATACACAAAGACAACAAATCACAAACAATTAACATGTCACACATTATGGAACGATGGCTACAGTACGATTGAGTAGTAATCTGAAAAAAATACAGCCGAGATCTGATTTAAATATTTTACGGACTGAAGGACAAAATAATTCTTAAATCTATTCAGTCTAACCAGTGGGACTCTGTCTTCCATTTGATGGCAAAAATTGCTTTTCACCTTGTAAAATATGCAAGGAATCTCAAGGATAGATGGTAATACGTTTAAGCACTGGTCCCATAGGCCACCAAGCCTCTAAATTTGGTGTCCAAAGTACATTTTTGGTGGCCAAAATGTAAACTTATGTAAAAACAATGCAGAAAAGGCAATTTAATACAACCTAACACCGTTCCTTAGCTGTAACACTTTATTAAATGAAAAGACATTAACGGAATGAAAATGTGACTATTTGTTTAAACTGAAAACTCAAGTTCATTTGTAAACATACATACAGTTGATGTCAGAAGTTTACATATGCTTGGGTTGAAGTCATTAAAATAGATTTTTTTTCTTAACCATGCCAAAGATGTCCTGTTAACAAACTCTCTTTTTGGCAAGTCAGTTAGGACATACTTTATGCATGACACAAGTAATTTTTCCAACTGTTGTTTACAGATAGATTATTTCACTATATCACAATTCCAGTGGGTCAGACGTTTACATACAGTACACTCAGTTGACTGTGCCTTTAAACAGCTTGGAAAATTCCAGAAAATGATGTCATGGCTTTAGAAGCTTCTGATTGGCTAATTGACATCATTTGAGTCAATAGGAGGTCAACATGTGGATGTAGTTTAAGCCCTACCTTCAAACTCAGTACTTTTTGTTTGACATCTTGGGAAAATCAAAAGAAATCAGCCAAGAGCTCAGAAAAAATTGTGAACCTCCTCAAGTCTGGTTCATCCTTGAGATGAAGGTACCGCGTTCATCTGTACAAATAATACTACTCAAGTATAAACATCATGGGACCACACAGCCATCATATCGCTCAGGAAGGAAATATGTTCTGTCTCCTAGAGATGAATGTATGTTGGTCCAAACAGAACTAAAACAACAGAACAAAAGCAAAGGACCATGTGAAGACAATAGAGGAAACGGGTACCAAAGTTTCTGTGTCCACACTAAAACGAGCCCTACAGTCTTATGCAAAAGTTTAGGCACCCCTTGATAAATAACAGATTTTGGTGATTTTTTATTTGAACAGATGTTAACACAGTTTCTCTTGGAAATGGAAAAAATGCACAATATTTTAGCTTTTATTTTTTTGGAGAAATGTCCTCTCGTCTGAGTAAACAAAAATTTAACTGTTTGGCTATAATGACCATCGTTATATCTGGAGAAAAAAGGGGGAGGCTTGCAAGCCAAAGACCACCATCCCAACCATAAAGCATGGGGCCAGCAGCATCATGCTGTGGGGGTGCTTTGTTGCAGGAGAAACTGGGGCACTTCATAAAATAGATGCCATCATTAGGAAGGAAGATGATGTTGATATATTGAAGCATCATCTCAAGATATCAGCCAGGAAGTTAAAGCTTGTTCACTAATGGGTCTTCTCAATGGACAATGACATCAAGCAGACTTCCGAAGTTGTGGCAAAATGGTTTAAGGACAACAAAGTCAAGGTGTTGGAGTGGCCATCATAAAGCCTTGACCTAAATCCATAAAAACATTTGTGGGCTGAAATGAAAAAGCATTTGGGAGCAAGGAGGCCTACAAACCTGACTCAGTTCCACCAGTTCTGTCTGGAGAAATGGGCTAAAATTCCAGCAACTCATTGTAAGAAGCTTGTAGAATGCACCCTGAAACATTTGACCCAAGTTAAACAGTTCAAAGTCCCCATGGCTGCTCATTTTGCTCATTTCCAGACATTTAATGTTTAATCTTGGGTACCTCTAGATTAGCTTGGCACCTCTCATAACTCCAAATAGTCTGTAATTATTTCAGAACACTAACAGCCTCTTCCTTAAAACGAGACGATAGTTCGTGAACATGCACAGCTTCTTTTGCTGGTGTTGTCGCAAGTGGACAGCACAACGAGCCACGACAGCATTAGTTAATTTTAATTTCTCCTGCATAGATATGTAAACAACAGTATATGAACCGATGAAAAGAGATGTGTAACACTCTAAACAAAGCGGGTAATTGAGAAACCCCATATTTTAACTGGCTTAATGCAGACATAGTAACTCCTCCAGCCTTACAACAGTTTTCTCTAACATTACAGAAATGACATTAACAGACTTGCATTAAGCGTTTTTTTTTTGTAAACTTACCGTTAAGTCCCACCAAATAGTGGAAACATCACTTCCTTTCATGTAGCTCCAAAGTTGGTAAATCCAATTGGTGGTCGCTGCGTCTTCCACCACACGACCACATAGGTCCCAAAGTAGTGAAATTAATTTCAGCAGGTAGTGTAGCACCAACAATAACATCATGGGTAGCTAATCCGCTTGTTAACCAGCAACACATCACATGCTGCAGACACACTGGCCTCAAGCAGTCAAAACAAATGGGTACTGTGCTCCAGGGGAATCATTGGTGGAAACGCCAATGGATGTTAGGCGAGCTCATATGAACACGCAATGGCCTGGGTTTTATGTAAATTGAAGGAGATCCTTAAACTATCACGTAATACTTCATTTTGTTGAAAAAAGCCACGTGCGTGAGAGTTTGCGAGACTTGTATAAACAGAGTTGCTTCTGCATAGAAATACTAGAGCACATGTACACCTCATTTTTTTAGCTTTAGGTCATGTCTAAGATGAGAATTTACCATTGTAACATTGTAGATAAGTCAAAAAACAAGGAAAAGCATGACATGGGCTCTTTAAAGGCAAAACTATGAAATACTAACCAAGTGTATGTAAACTTCTGAGCCACTGGGAATGTGATGAAATAAATACAAGCTGAAAAATCATTTTTCTTTATTCTAACATTTCACGTTCTTAAACTACAGTAGTGATCCTAACTGTCCTAAGACGGGGAATGTTTATAGGATTAAATGTCAAGAGTTGTGAAAAACTAAATTTAAATGTATTTTGCTCAGGTGTATGTAAACTTGTGACTTCAACTGTCTATTCTGTCTCTTAGTTCAGTCTCTCTCTCTTCCTTCCCTCCCTCCCAGCATTGTGCCTTGAGTCAGTCATGTCTACAAGAGAAACTACAAAAAGTAGTTGAAAACCTATAATACATGCTTCCAGCCATAATGTTTTTTTTTTTTGTCAAAATACATGGGCAGAATGACTATATTTTTCTAATTATTTAAAATGTAAAGTTATTTGAAAACATATGGTAGGTTACATATCCTGTCTCTTCATCTCATCTTTTCGCACCCTCCATGTATTCCTGTGCCTGATACAGTCTTTCCCTTCCTCCCAGCATCTATCCTGCGTAACACCGCAGTACATTATATAGTTGCACATCTTATATTCTAACATCTTAAACACCTGCTTCTGATCACTCTTAAATTTTCATTGCCATTTTTCCATAGTCTGTGTTTTGTGTTTCTGATTCTGTAGCGATCATGTTAGAAGTTAGATTAGGCTTAGTAAACCTGTACTTCAGCAGCCCGGACATAATGACAGTGAGCTGGTGCCAAGTAACCTTATGGTTCACTGGTTTATAGAATGTTGAACTAAATGGTACTGAAAGACTGAAATTATTTCTCTTTTGGATTGATAATAAGTGAACTCCCAACATACCACACAGCAGTAATGCAGGCATTGTACCAGACTGAAGGCATAGCTCTCAATTTAACAGGCAACCACCTTCACCTGTGGTCATAACATTTGGGTAGTGAGGGACTGAAAGAATGTGATCGCAATACAAATGATCAAAATGAGTTTCCTCCATAGAGGGGCTGGACTGAGCCTTAGAGGACAGGATGCAGGGTTTGGACATCCATAGGGAGCTCAGAGTAGAGCTGCTGCTCCTTCTCATTGGCAGAAGCTAGTTGAGGTGGTTCTGGCATCTGGTTTGGATGCCTCCTGGTGCTTTCCATTTGAGGTTTTCTAGTATGTCTAACTTGTCAGTGGCCCTGGGGTAAACAGAACATGCTGGAGAATTGTACAATATGGGTGGTTCCATGGAAACTTCATTTTGAGTCCCCAGCATATAAAGGCAAAAACAAGGCAGTCAAACTGTCAGGATGGCTTTGAATGATTGAAGCATTAATTTAAGTGCACTTGTTAAGCTGAAATAAAATAATACAATTACAATTTTATATTTTCAACTGTTTTCTGTTAAACTATAGTCATTTTCTCATGTCCTTTCTGACCATTCTCACATTCATGTGTGGTATCACTCAATGAATATTGCATAAATCTCAGATTTGTTTTGTCTTAGGAACATAAATGTTTTAATACATTTGAAAAATTGTTAAAATAACATGATTTACATGTATCCATTAGTTTCGTGTTTGGCCCCGTCACACCAGTGTATTTCTGCACTAAAATACTGTACTGTTAAGTAAAATCACTAAGAGGAAATGATGTTAAGGGTTTGAAGAAGACGAATTCAAATGCTGGTGAGACTGTATTATTTTTTATTTTGGTACATTTTTCTTTCAAAACCTCTGTCAAACATAACATTCCACCTTCTCACTCAAAAAAAACATGGGGGAAAACCTATTTTGGCTATATTACTTTGAATGTTCCTGCCCTGTCACTGAATTGACCTACCTACTGTGTCCTGTGACAGGGTAGAACAAACCAACTCTCATATCTTGATGTAGAGCTTGCAAAATATGTTTTATTGCAGGTTCCTTCATGCTGTGAAACAAAAAAAAAAAAATTGTTTGGTTATGATAAATAAATCTTAATATTCCAAGGTCCAATCTGTAGTTTCCATGGAATAACTCGTATATGAACTCTTGGATGTTCTTTGGGAAAAGGGAAACAATCTGTTGTAATGAACACTATAAAATTAGGACCAGGATCAAACGAAAGCATAATAGAGTACATGTTCTTTACTAACACTAAAGTGGGTTTATGAAGTTAACTTTTTATGGTTTGGTGTGTGAATGAATGGGTGAGTGGGCGAATCTGTAAAGCACTTTGATCAGGTAAGGTAGAAAAGTGCTATACAAGTGTAGTCCATTTACTATAATTAAAGTGCTGCATTAAAAAAAATGTAATTAGCATCTTGGTCCTTTGTTTGGTTGCTGTGTTTTCAGTGACTGGAGCAGAGTACGAGGTGATGCTGACAGAGATCATGTCAATGGGCTACGAAAGGGAGCGAGTGGTGGCTGCACTACGCGCCAGTTTCAACAACCCTCACAGAGCCGTGGAGTACCTTCTCACCGTGAGTGTCTCACACAAGGATTCTTACCAAATTCAGCTCTGCTCTTCACTAACTGTTTGTGCACACAAGTCTAATCTGGCTACTTGGCAAATACACAACTGCTTTTAGTTTAGTTTTATTTAGATGGGCATCGGTTATTATTTCTGGCCTGTTAATATTCCTGCGCACCTGTAACACAGCGAGCCCCCTGGGATCTGTGCAGTTATGTCTTCATTTTAAGGGTGATCTCAGAGGACTAAAGGAAGCTGTCTATCCAAGAAATAAAAACTGAAGGTGGCAGTGCAGCGTTTTATATGTATTTACTTGGGTATTTTATAAAAATGTAGTTCAGAGGTTGTCAATTCAAAATATGCTTTATAAATTTGGGTTGTGGCTGTTGATCCTAATATCATTTTTGTGGTAATCCTCTAGTAATGTCCTACATACATAGAGCTGACTGCAGTGCATTTTCCATCTCCCTGACACACAAGTTACCGTTTGGGACCAAGTTGGCTAACTAGGCTGCAACAACATGAAGAATGTGATGAATGTTCATCAGCGTGATAAAGACCTATCGGTGGCTTTCATTGGCTCTGTATGATCTGACATCAGCACACTGATAAAAGCTTTACTCTGTGCACTGTGAGGGGAAAGAGACATCACGCTGAAGAGCTACTCTTGTTGATAGAAATGTGGTGGACAAATATTGCAAATGCTGCTTATTATACTACCAGCCAGTTCAACAGCACCACAGACTACAGCTTTATGACTGTAAAGCCTGAACACTATACCCTTCTTGACGGACAGTATAGGGCTGCTGGTACTTTAGTTTTGGCTAGGAGAAGCAAACACACTGGCAACTAACTGTTATTTTGAGAATACGAGTCAGTTGTCCAACCTCGTGGGGTTAAACCACTTCATAAGTGTTAAGTTGAAAGTCAAAGTATATTCACTTATAGAAGAAGAAGAAGCTTTATTTTATTGTCATTGTAACATTGTGACACATACAACGAAATTTTGTTTGGAGCCGAGGGCCCCGGGCCGCTGCGTGCATACGCGCCGCCATCACCGCTACGAACTAATGATCAAACTGTCAGTTTCTAAGGCCCTGGTACTGTTGTGGTCTGTCCATGTTCTTTAGAAGCAGGCTGGAAGTGTGTGTGATTGACAGTAGTATTTTTGTGTTTGCAGGGGATCCCCAGCAGCCCAGTCCAGGAGAGTAATCCTCCAGCACAGGCCCCCACATCTGGACCCACAGAAGCGCCATCTTTAGCAGAGGGTGAGGCCTACAGCTCTGTTTGATTCAAAAATACCTGCAGTCAGGCTGTCTCACCCTGCTGTGTTGATGATGTCAGATCGTGGCACAGACTGTCAATGACTCACTGTGCTCAGCAAATGTTTCTCCATCATCTGCATGCATAGTTATTCAACTTGTTAGGTGCCACAAGACCTGCATTTTTGTTGAAATGTCACCTTTATGGAAACTTGTTTTGGCATGTGGCTTCTTTTAGAGTCTTATTTGTAGAACTTTAGATGCAGCGACTAACTGGGATTCGATTAGAAGAAGATTCAGCTACATTATCATGGAAAACATTGCTATGTCCTACACATGCTCATTACAGTATAAGGAGAAGCTATGACATCTTGTTAGGGATAAGTCAATTGCCACAAGTATGTAATAAAGTAGTGTCAGCAGACTGCGCCAGTGGCAGTGGGTGGACTTGATGAACTTAGACATTGAGGATATATCCTGTCCCTGTTTACGATATTTGCTGGTGTGCGGATGCCACCTGAAAACCAGCTTCCACATGGTATATTTGGCCATTCTGATTGTGCTAGCTTGTTTGGTAGGTAGAAGTGAAAGGTTTGTTTGTGGCAGCCAGTTTTTGGTAATGAACTGACAGAATTGTGACTATTTGCTTTAGGAACAAATAGTATAAAGGAAAACTTTTCCAAATTCATTATTTACTCCAACATTTTGTTTGATGCTTCTTTACTGTTGTACAGGGAGTTTCCTCACAGTTTACTCAGCTTGGAGTAGGAGTTTGGGGGTGAAGGGTGGGGGGGGAAGAGCCTTCAGTAACTCGGTGTTGCCTTATTTACATGGTATGGCACCTAGCTGGCTAGCTAGCCACTGGTGCATCCAAGAGTCAGCTGGAGGGTCTGTGAAGCCTGCAGCTACACTGAGGACTTGCAGACTGCTGTGTGCAGACACTGGAGCTAAGCTAATTGTAGCCTGGCTGCCTGTTAAACTCAGTGTCTCATTTTCCTTTTCTACATGTGTGAAAGTCAAATGATGATGTGCAAGTGCTGTGATAGATTGGCGACCCGTCCAGGGTGTACCCCGCCTCTCGCCCAATGCCAGCTGGGATTGGCTTCAGCGGTATAGATGAGGGATGGATGTGCAAGTGTGTAGGCTGCGGGTTTGGAAGGCATCTTGTCTCAAGTTGCTCTTGGTAATAGAAAGTAGCTCGAGTTGTGCACATGCCACTGTTTTCAAACAAGGCTTAAGGTTTTGGTGTATCAAATGTTTTATATAATTGATTGAATTTGCCGTCTTGCTAATCAGTATTCATATTGTGCTGTCACTAGGAGACAACCCACTGGCCTTCCTGCGGACCCAGCCCCAGTTTCTGCACATGAGACAGGCCATCCAGCAGAATCCTGCTCTGCTACCAGCTCTTCTCCAGCAACTAGGCAGGGAGAATCCACAGCTTCTACAGGTAGCACACACCCACTAACACTGCCCCTCCCCCACAAAAAACACATGCCTCTGCTGTGGGGGGGGGGAACAACCTTGGTCCAACAACTTTCAGGATAATGATTGCCAAATCTCACTATATATGAATATGTCACTCAGCACTACATATGTAGTTGTCAGTTTTCCAGATGGCTGTCTCCATTTAATGTGCTTGTAACCCCCTCCTCATTCGGTTTCTTTCCCCAGCAAATCAGTCAGCATCAGGAGCTCTTTATCCAGATGCTGAATGAGCCAGTGGGGGAGGGGGGAGAAGCACCAGAGGCTGGGGGGGTGGGGGCAGCAGGGGAGGAGGGCGGGGGAGGAGGGCGCACCTGTCAACTATATCCAGGTTACACCTCAGGAGAAGGAAGCCATCGAAAGGGTGAGGAACAAATGAAGATGAAATATTAATAAAATGTGTTGTTTTTGCTGTAACTTATTAAAATTCAGAGTAAGACTTGCAGATCCTTAACACAGTGCCCTCCTGTCTCTCTGCTCTGTCCCTCCCTTTCTGCTCCATCCGAACAGTTAAAAGCGTTGGGTTTCCCTGAGGCTCTGGTGATCCAGGCCTACTTTGCCTGTGAGAAGAATGAGAACCTGGCAGCCAACTTTCTCCTCAACCAGGGACTGGAGGATGACTGAACAGCGATCTCTGCCTTCCTGCTCCTCCCTCCTACCCTTCCCCTCTTCAGCTCAGCATACAGACTGCACCCCCAATTTTACTGTACAGCTAACCAACCTCAGCTCAACCCAACAGGAGGGGAGGAGAGGGGAGAGCCAGCGGTGGGATAGAAAGGGGAGACGGGGGTGGGTTAGGTCATGTGCGGGGTTGCACGCTCAAGTACACCAAGTGGAGGTTGTGTGCAGGAAGGTCAGACTCGGATCATCGGAGGTCGGGGTGAAAAAAGTGCGGCAGAATTCTAATATCCACATGAATTCCAATGGAATGTTCGGGGTTTGTCTAGGGGAGATCTATCATTTGATTTTAGACGCGCTTTGTGAACACTGGGGAGGGGAGCGACTGGGGGTGAAGGGTTTGCGATGAGAGTGTGTGTTTGCCTGTTTGAGTTACATGTGTGTGCCTGTGCAGATGGATGCGATACAGTTAAGCTGAAAAAGTAATCAATTTGCATTCTCTAAGTTTGTTAATGCTGTAGCTGGATTGTACGGAAGCACATCCTCCTTGCTGCACTCGGACAATGTTAACAGTGCGTGTAACTGCTAGTGTGTACCTCTGTAAGCCTCGTGTGTACATCCCAGAATGAAATCGGCACAGATGGACTGGAGCATGGCCTCTGTATGTGTCTGACATGATGTTGCTGTGGTCTGTCAGTCTGTTCTGTTCACTTCATACCACCTCTCATCTGTTCCTGCCAGTCAGATCCCCTGCACATGCTGTGCCTGCCTATTTAAGTTGTCTCAAATGTGGAACTATTCGGTCTGTGCTGGTAGCTTCAGGTGCTAATTAATGCTGCCAAGAAAAAAAATGTAATTATTAGTATTTAATTATTAGTATTTGCAGATACAGTAGCAGGTATGTTCAGAGCTCTATTACTGATCAGCACTATGCTACCCAACCCCCAGTTAATCATAAGCAGGACCTTTTTACTAACAACAGTCCACATTCTTTCTTGTATAGCTCCTTTAGTTTGCCAAGGGTCGACTCACTTTAAGTGGGAAGACATTTCTTTAACTATTTCACCAAAACAATTAAAAGGCCACACTTGAAATCTTAGATGTTGTATGCAATCATTCCCCCTCCGACCCGCAGCTAAATCGACAGGTTCTGCTTGTTAAGGTCTAAACTGCCTGGCATGTGGTTTTAACAGTGCCGCAGGACCATGCATTTCTTCTTCTGGTCAATTATAACGGTCCCAAAAATGGATATATAACAATATACTGTTACTATCATAATTGCACTGACTTGTCCCGCACGTCTAGCAAAGCATATTTCTTGCCTTCAGAAAACTTGAGGGAAAGAACCTCGACTATCTACCGTTTCTTATAGAATAAACGCATTGTACCTTAATCTTCCCAACCAGAGGTAAGTCATAGCTGGAAAATTAAACTTTTTGAATTGATTAAATCAGAGATCTAACAAAGCCTAGATTCAATTCTGAATGATAGATTGACGATTAACTTTCCTGCGACTGTCTAAACCTTCTGGCACTCCATGTGCTGCCTTGCCTTAAATGGCTAATGCTGCCATTTGGGCTCAATTTTAGATAAGTGTGGATATACTGTTAACAGGTAGTTGGCCTTCATAGTCTCATGGGCAGATTACTGAATTGGCCTGATGGGCTAAAACTGTATAAAGAGACTATTTATTGTTGGAACTGGCATAAAATAGAGCAGCGTGCCTACAAGGAGATGAAGAGCAAACACAAATGAATAAGTGTACAAGTTATTACTATGGAGAACCAGGGACTTAGGTTAGATTCTTTAGTAATTTTTATTTGTTATATACAAATGTGCCCCATTCTGGCTCCCATGTTAAGTTTCTTTGGCAGCCCCAGATTAATACTTGTGCTTTGTATTAAACAGACAGCAGAAAGAGGGGAGGACAAATGTCTACATAACGGCTACATTCTGCAGATCAAGGATTAACCACACACACAAAATGACCAGTGAGAAAAAATAGTTAATTGAGGAGCAGCTCGAGTCCATCAACAACATCATATTGTACGTGCAGAAGGGGTGACTGTCCGCTGTGGCTCACTGTATTATGAAGCTTCTTATGGTTATTGCTGGCCTGGGTGTGTTGTGTGTGTGTGAGGTGACGATGTGTGGCAACTGTCTGTTCTGGTCGCAAAGGTTCTCATCTTAATGTGGGTCCATGAATACACACTTACTGTAAAAGAAAAAACTGTGTGAAGGCAGTTTTAACTGACAACTGTCCTACAGCATCAACATGATCTTAGACTATGCTGTGCTACATTAAATACAGTATCAGCAGTCTTTCAGGCCTTTGTCTCTTTGTGCCTCATTAGTAACATGGTTATCCATCTCACAGCCAAAGCAAACAGCAGTACACATACTCACCGGGTCAGTAAGGGTCCTCTAGTGAGTTAATCCAGTCTCACTGTTGGATTAAAAAAAAGCAGAGAACACCTGTGGCATAACGCATCTACACCCACAGTTTCCAGTTTACCTGATCTGCAAGTCTCCGGTGTTGGAGGGAAGCCCACACTGACATCCACCAGACTAATTTTAACTGTATAAAGTAAAATGCAATCATCAACAACTAAATGCTTTAGATCTTGATGCACTGGCAATCTGTTGATCAATTTTTCTGTAGAATGAATACTTGTACTTTAATAAAATTTAGCTGATAAAACTGCTGTACTTAAAGCTGCATTAACTACGATTTAGCAGAAATTCAGATAAATCAAGTGAAAATGTTTTAGAAGTGTTTATACATTATTATACAAATATTCCTTTGTATAATTTGCTTGCGCTAATGCTTTAGGTAGGAAAAGGGACTTTCTGCAATGAAACTGAAAACCACAAGCTCTACGGGATGTATTCTGTACACGTTTATATTAGTGACAAGCCGCCTGACTGCCAAGTCTGTCTCCGGCTATAGTTACTATATATGGTGCAGTTTCACAGACAGGGCAGGAGGGGCAAGGAGGAGCAGATACCGCCTGAGTTTGATTCTCTAACGGTCCAGAGCTTGAGAGCAAAAGTTAGCTAGAGTGGCTTTAAATAGGATGCAAGTGCAATGTTGGGGAGTAGTGAACAACTGCTCTGACAAGTGAAAAGAAAGACCCATTATTTAGACCAGTGTACAAGCTGTTCATAACTGTATAAAAACCCGCAAGCTGAAGCTGTTTTAGTTAAAAAAGTCAGATATTACAAAACCAACGAGTCAGACAACTGGCCAAATAAGTTTTTTTCTTTGTTTTAGTTGTAGTCACAGATCACAAAATCCAGGTTTTTGCTGGCATGTGACTTTTTTGTATTATTATATTTTGTATCACATGCACACTGTCAATTTGATCAGCCCTTTTAAAAACTACTTTTCTAAGTAGTTTGTTAACCAAACTAGATTTCTCCCTAAGATAGTTTTGCTGTAGTTCAGCTTCTCCAGATTAACATACTTATAATGTAATGACAAAAAGTTAGTAACATGACAAGTGTAATTTCACATTTCTGATAGGGAAGCTAATGCAAATACTGTACTGTCACTCTTAAGTCAAACTGCAAAATAGCAAATCATTTTTTGTTTTTTGGGTGGATGTACCATCTTTAGCCTTTTTTTTTTGCTGAAGGTGATGTAGCAGTAGCAAAACAATGCACTTCTCTTCCACAACCATTTTTGTTGAACTGAACAAAGCACCTGACCTGACAGGACCATGAGCCGGTGACTTTTGCGGACATCGGGCAGCAACCGCCGTTCACTCTCATTTTACTAAAATGACTTTTACATTTGTAGCAGCCTCTACTTAGCTTGTGTAGAGTATGAAATAGGCCTAAGGTGTCCACCCCTGAAATGACACAGTCGACATAGGCAGGATACAGTCAAGAACATCCTTTTATTCAATCAAGTAAAGGTGTTGCTCTTTTCAAACTGTTTTTTTTATTATTATTATGGAAAAGAAACTGTAATTAACACATGCATTTCACCAAGGGCTCTGGGAGGTGTGTCTGAGGATGGGATTCTGCTCGAAAGGGGAGGGGCACTCTTGGTGGTCAGGATGGGGGTATTCTGGTCTGAGGTGAAGGGTTAGAATAACCAGGCGGCTCTGTCTACACACTGCTAAACACTGCCCAGCATCCTACAAAATGTGTTAAAAAAAAACCAAAGGAAAACTTAACAAATGGCGAACGGTTCAGCCACAGGATCCAACTGGGCTGTCTGAACGGTGCAGGGGCAGATCCCGTAGACACGCTCCCTCACCGAAATGCATACGCGCAACCTGCTTGTCTCAGATATGGCTTCTTAACTGTGGCGCTTTAACTCTGATCTGTAATACTGCTGCTGGCATAATTTACTTGATGATGCAAAATCAAAAAAGTTTCATATGCTTTTTTTTTCTTCTTGCATGACAAAACGATGTAGTCACTTGATTTTGCTGGCAGAATTTCAAGGTGCTTTCTGTACAAGTCACCAAAATCTTTTGTCTTTTTTTTTTTGTTTTTGTTTTAAATATATCATTTGGAACCATATCACTTTGGTCAATGGCAGTGAATCAATACAATATTATGAAGCTAAGTGTAACATTTCTAATGATTGTGCTAAATCTGAGCCTTTCGGTCTTCTTGCTGTGGAACCAGTCCGCTTATAAGGTGCTTTGAGTCATTTTTCAGTTGAAATTTCCTCCCTATTTTTTTTGTTTGTTTTTATTTTTAAATAGCTGGTCTCATTCAACCACTACAAAGGTGCATAACTGAAGGTCTCAAAACAGCATCTTACTGCTGTCTAAGATATGCAGTAACAATGACAAAAAGTAATGAAAAAGCAAATCCAAATTCAATTATAAAAAAAATAAATAGCTAGAAACAAGGAATACAAACAAACCTGCCTGCAGCAGCAGTCCTAACTGGTCTCTCTCTCCCCACCTTAGTCCACAACCAAACATTCCCATGAGTGCTTTTAACCCTCCACCAGAGCTGATTTGTCACTGTTTGCTCCCCGAGGGAAAACCCATATCTTTGCCCAAACCCAGCCCCTGTCCTCAGCACAGCCCAGAACCCCGTGGTGTAACTTGTTCACTTACATTAGCCGTTGAATGGAGAAGCTGAAGAAGATGGGTATGGTAATACAATGTGAAGCGTACAGACAAGAATAACATGTGAGCTAACTGCATTCTGCTCAGACAAAAAAATCTTTGCGCATTTTTTTTTTTAACCCCGCCGTTCAGAGAAAGGGAGGAAGGAGAAAAGGAGGGTAGAGGAGAGGTTTACGCGGCTACAGACTACTCCAGTGTCCAAGATAGACAGAAGACAAGATACAGAGGAAGAGAAGCAAGACAGAAAATCTTTTTTTTCTCTTTTTCAGCTTAATTATTCAACAATAAAAAGAGGAACTAAATCACACCACTTTCCTTTAGTACTATGTATACTGCTTTAAAAAGCTTGAAGAAGAGGAAGATATAGAAGTATGAAGGAGGGGACTTTTTTTTTCTTTTGAGATGGGCACTCAGGATTACAAGATGGAATCTGTGAACAAAAGGCACTTTTTAGGGACAACCTTTAAGATGCTCTGAGTCTATAACACTACATCACCAAACAAATATTTATAATCATTTACAGTGGGAGATGGGGATTTGGGGGGGAGGGGAGGGGGTTCATGTTCGTATTGAATTGATGACAGCATCCCACTGTGAATTCCTTCTCGCTGAACTAACCACACAGTTTCACCAAATAAAGAATCTCGCCGGGGCATCATCATTCATGTTCTTTTGAAAAGGGAAACCATATTTGTGCATCTCCCAACCTGGGGAAGATCTTGTCTTTGTACCAAATCATGCTCATGCGATGGATACAAAATGATAGTCTGGGAAAAAGAATAAGAAATAAAATAAAATAAACATCGGCATACAACGACCATTCCTCTGCTGTGGCGGAAAGGGTGGGGTGGGGGGGATGCCTTTTGTCACTACAACCATTTCATAAAATGAACCCCTCCCCCTTGGTAAATAAACAGAGAGAAATAGAATAATGCATGTTTTCCTAAAATTTGCTTTTATGATAACACAATTTTGTTTATTCTTATTTATGTATAATAAAGACTGAAAGTACTTTATTCTTTACGAAAGCACCAGTTTCATAGTGATATATATTATATGAGTTGCAAAATTGTTCCTTCAGACCTCCCACATTTTGAAAAACAAATCAGAATCTTAAAAAGTGATAAAAGGGAAAAAAAAAGGAAATTAAAAACAATTTCCCCAAACTTACTTACAAAGACTTTTTTTTTTTTCCTCGCTGCCCTCTTATTTAGAGTCCCAGAGCACATGGACTTGAAAAACAAACAAACAAAAAAAAAGTCGAGGGTTTTTTACCTCTTTTTGCGTGATACCCTCAAACAATCGCTAACAAAAAAACAATTTCTCTACCAGGGCATTGCACATGGCTCAATCAACATACATCATTTAGTTTCAAAAACAATACTTCCCATCAAAACGAAAGGGAACAAAACCTAATCCGTGTTTGCGCCATGGAGTTCCTCTTCTTTTACATCATTTAATGCATATGTGTGTTTAGAGACTGGTACTTGAGCTCAAATCACGGTTTTTTATTTTTCGAGATGCATCCTATGACTGTGCGATGTACGCCATGCTTCAAAAAATAACTAGACTGCCACAGAGCTTATCTTGCAAATAAAAACAATGTAT